TAGAACCTAAACCTGAAACCCTAAACCTTCCAGGTATCCCACACCTAGTGCTGTTCTCGGGGCTGCTTTGGAGGGAGTAAAGTTGGGGGGAGGGGAGGGGGAGGAGAGGGGGGAGGAGAGGGGGGAGGGGGAAGGGGGGGGAGGGGGAGGTGTGAGGAGAGGGGGGCGGAGGGTGGGGAGTGGGGGGGGAGGGTTTACAGGGTTTTGAAGGTTAACAAGGTTTAGAGGGTTCAAGCCTTACAGAGTAAGGTCCTGGAAGGTCTCAGGTCTGCATCAATCCACGATGACCTTTATGAGTCTTACATGGTAGTTTCCCAAAATGAGTGGACCCACCCCAACATACTATAATCCTTGGTATTGGGACCCCAAAATGGCACCCCTAACTAAGAAACCCTAAACCCTAATCCCTAACCCTAATTCTATAAATCCTAAATAACCCCTATGTGACCCGTGAATAACCCTTACTACAGGCGCTACCAAAATGGTACCCCTGATTTTGGGAGACCCCCGACATCAAATATGAGAGCAAGCTTCGCTCCGCGAACGTCAGCAACATGACCACCCAAAAAGGATGAGGCTTTAGGGTTTAGGGTTTAGGGGCAACGTAAGATCATTCAAACTATAGCTGGCGGCAAGCTAGTGTAGGGGCCCTACGAATAGTTACTGATATCTTTTTTGAAGTCTGTTTGAGGTAACCTGTACCACGATTATAAAAGGAATTTAGGATCATGACAGTGACTTTGATATAGGCCCCTATGTTGGCTACCATGGCCTGCGATCCCCCTTCAACACATACTCCAAATTGTACATCCTGCCAAGCAGCAATCAACAGTGGATGCAGAAAAGGGTGCATGCCGAATTTAATTGCGCCAACGGCCTGCAAAATTGCGATCACGGAAGGTGTCTCTGTTTAGGGGAGGGACCATAGGCTGGGTCAATCCCCCAACCAGTAATGGGTACCACAAGGGACTACTGTAGGCATATTAAGGCCCTGTTAACTCCATATTAGGGAGCTATTACCATGGGGGGGATTGGCCTAAACCATAGCCAGTTGGAGACAAATCTTCAACTTGCGCGAATCAGCTTCAGGCAGCTTGTTCCGTGTTGAACCTTTCCCTAGTCCTGGAGAAGGTTGAGCAAAAGAGACCTAACTAACTTTGGGCAATGCTACATTGGATCGTCCAGGCCCAATAGTGGGGCCATAGGTATCCCAGCTGTTGCTCTCTCTATGGACATCCCACAAACGCCTCGACTTGCAATTACCCATCAACCTCTAAGAGGGAAGTGCAACGAAAGGCGACAAACAGAGAGCATGAGCTATTCAAACGAGAGTTCGTCGGCAGGGTCAGACCACATCACTTTGAGGGACCCTAAACCCTGAACCCTAAACCCCTAAACCCTAAACCACAAAGTCCCGGCTCTTATTGATTGTAGCTCGCATGGAGTAGCTTCAGGGTAAAGCAGTTCAGGCTACGAGATTGAGGTTCCTGACCATGGCCACATGGGGGTTTCCCAAAGTGGGGGATATGGGGAAAGTATTTAAGTGTATATAGGGTTTCAGGGTTTAGGGATTCGGGTTTGGGGTTTCCCAAGATTAGTGTTCCTTTTTTTGGGGTGCCTATAATGAGGCGTACAATATATTTGGATCTATATTGGTCCCCCTATTTTGGGAATCTACCATATAGCAGTAATCCTCGAATAGAGAAAGTGCAGGGATCACTACGGGATATTGAACTGTCGCATTGAGATTATGCCCGACGCCTGCAGAACATGGCACTGGTGCTGGACTCCGGGCTCCATCTGGGTTTAGAGTTTAGGGCTTAGGTCCTAGAAGCTAACCCAAGCCGTCCATAACACACAAATTTGAGGAAAATCAACATCAGGACCATAGATGTGATCATAGTACGATCACGCATGCATAGTGTTGACAGCACTATACGGTAGTTTCCCAAAATAGGAGGATCCCAAATTTTTACCCCAATAGACAAAAATCCTGTTAAAGGGACCCCCAAAATGTTATCCCTAATTTTGGGAAACCCTAAACCCTATATAACCCCATATAACCCTACCTATATAACCCTATCTAACTGCCTTGAAAGGGTACATAAAACCCCAAAATCCCTAGAACCCCCAAAGTTGCCTCCATTGGCCCTCTCAGTTGCCGCCCCTTCGAACTCTGAAGCCTCAGCTTCTGAAAGCTGCCTAATCTGGGTTGATGTTCAGGGACTTAACTTAACTTACCATAATGGGTATATATATAGGGATAATGGAAAAGAAAATGGAAACTACTATAATGGGGTTATATAGGGTTTAGGGTTTAAGTTACCATAATGGGTATATGTAGTAATGAATATGGTTTCCCCAATGTAGTGACTTAAATTAAGTTCATGAACAGCTACCCAGTAACGGGTGACTCTGAGAGCCTCTGCGGGAAAGGCTTGGGACCTCCAGTCTCCTGTGAGGCCTTCGGGACCCTAGGGACATATTTTGACTACCGGAGTTTAAAGCTAATTCTTAGGGTTCAAGGTTGTGGCGCGAGCTGATCGATGTCTTTGTGGATCTGCCTGCTCTTCTGCTTAAATGAGCGCTCCTGCTGCCCAAAGAAGCCATCAAGTCGAAAAACTAATGCACCCCTCTGTATCTGCGAGTAGTCCAACACATCTGTTCATAGGCCTCGGATCGGCCCTTTCAAGCCTTCAAAAGACCTCTGAGCTCAATTCAGGGATTGGGCTCCTGAAGCCCACATGCACAGTCATGAACCCTCAACCCTGGACCCTAACCCGGAGCTGCATGCAGCTGCGGGACAATTGAGGGACCTTGGCTGCTCAACTGAATTACTTGAAGGTTTGTGATTCAAAAACTTCCAAAGCTGGCATGACATGGAGTGCAGACCATGAGAAGGGTTGGCGAGGCCTCCTTCACTGCCGCGTCACAACATGAAGGGCTTTCGCTTCCCCAATAAGAAATCCCTCCGCGGGAGACACACAGGAAACATGTTGTGATTAGCTTCGACATGTGTGCGCCTAATACAAAGAGTCAACACGTTGCAGTCAGCAAAACAACGTTAGCAAGTTCACATGCGCGTGATCATTGAAACTGCTGCCAAGGCACAATGAAAGGTGTTCTCAGAGAAAAATCCATCATTGGAGGTCTTCAGGTACTCCTCCGAAGCGGATTTAATAGTTTCCGTGATGTCGGAGCCTTAATATACAACCAAATATACTGTAATCCTTATTGCAGGGACCCCCCCCGAAACAGGAAAACAAAAAAAGTTGTCATTCTGTTCTACGCTTTTAGATGAATCTCATCCCCCAACTGTACCCTATCCCCTACATGACAAATATGACCTTCATATATGTAGATGGTACAGAGAAGAACCATTGGATGTTGTCGTATCTCAGAATGCTGTCTCTATAGAAAACCTCTAGGTAGACCTGCGCAATAACCCTGTCTACTCCCTACCAAGCTTTGCGGAAGCAATCCGAAAGTGTCTTATTGGACTCCAAAAGACTCCTTTAATCCACTTAAACCCTAAGCCCAATGAACCCCCGAGATTTAAAGTCTACAGCTGCTTGGAGCAGCTGTCTTAACCCAATGGCCTAAGCTGTCAGCATTTCTTCTCGTGCTTCCATACCACCCCACAAAATTCTTGCAAGCCCTGATAAAGTCCCACTTAACTCCGGAAAACTGTCAAAACAAAACAGAAGAAAAGCACGTGACTGGGAACCATAGTCTTCTTGAGAAATATCTATGTGTCCCGGTCGAAAAGATGAGGCCCAAAGGCCCCCCAAGCCCAGGATCTGCGCCTTGAGATGCGCGAAGCGCATGCCAGTCGGGAACCTAGGGGCACGCCAGGATTTTACCGTGGCATGTAGGACTTACCTATGGACATACAGGAGTTGCATCGGGGCTTACAGGAGTTGTATAGGGGCTATACTTCGAAATAGGTGGGCATGCTGAGGTTTAGGGTTTAGGGTTTAAGTTTTTAAGTTTCGGGTTTAGGATTTCAGGTTTTGGGGCTTGGGCGCGCAAGGTGAAGGTTTGGGTTTTCAGCAGGTTGAGATACTGAGTTGAACGTATCAAGGTGGAAAGCTTCTTGGTTACTACAGGGGCCTTAATCATTACCAATATCATCTTGAGGTCCATTTGAGGTACCATGTACTATAAATATACAAGGAATATGGAGCCATAATATTGGTAATTACTTAGGCCCCTATATCAGTTGGCTGACTCACCGGTCCCGTAGTAGGTGCTTGAAGGGAGTTGGGGACTGCAAAGATACATGAAGGTTTCTGGCTGTAGACTGTTTCTCAGATAGGGTTTAGGGCAGACCCCATGGACCCTAAACTCTCTGGACCTCGAACCCTGAGTCCAGACTCCATGAGCCACACAGCTTAGGGCTCGGGGCCAAAAAAACTCAAACCCTTTACATTGGTATTTCCCAAGAAAAGGTGGTCCTCTTATGTAGCCCAAGATACTGAAATCCTGACTGTAGACCTATATGCGTCCAGTCTCGATTTCATTGTCCATCTTGTTCTCCCAAACCTCAACCCCTATATAACCTCACATACCCCCTATATAACCCCCATAACCCCTTGAAAGGGGCCCTGTGTTGGGGCAATGTCCCTAAAACCTAACCCAAAACCTCAAACTCTAAGCCCTAAACTCTGAACACTAGAACCTAAGCCCAAACCCCTAAACCCTGAACCGGAAACCCAAAACCCTAAACCTGAAGCCCACAACCTTAAGCCCAAAACCAAAAACCCTAAGCCAGGAGGCAGCAACATCAGCTCGGTGAGAAAACCAGACCTAAACTGCGCAACAACCATAATGTGAGTATTTTTTGGTGGTTGAGGGTTTAGGGTTTAAGGGTTTAGGGTTTAGGGGTTTAGGGTTTAGGGTTGAACCTAGTAAGATTATCTTCCTTATATAGAATACTTTTCCCCAAAAGCAGAATATAATATTGCTCTCTGTTGGGTACCATAGTATCCCCACATGAAATACTACTCATGTGAACTCCAGTCTGAACTCCTCAACGGAGGGTTATATGGCAGATTGTCAGGGTTTAGGGTTTAGGGTCTAAACTCCTTATAAAAGGGTTACATAATGGAATAGATAGGAGACTTTTATGAGGGTCATTAAGGGGCATACTAGGAGTTTGGCTCCACCTGCGCCAAGTGCCCGGGCTCCACGGGCATTCGCCCATAACACCGCTCGCGTTCCTAGAGCATACGCTGACCAGAGCATCCATGCCCAAACCATAATCCGGTTCGTGTTCCTGGAGCCTACGCTGACCAGAGCATCCATGCCCAAACCATAATCCCGCTCGTGTTCCTAGAGCCTACGCTGACCAGAGCATCCATGTCCCAACCATAATCCCGTTCGTGTTCCTAGAGCATACGCTGACCAGAGCATCCATGCCCAAACCATAATCCCGCTCGTGTTCCTAGAGCCTACGCTGAC